TACAATATTTATAACAAAATATATAATCAAAGGCATAGATTCATACTTGTGGAAAATGCTACAATCCTGTTACGGAACCATTCCGTCGGGATTTGTAACCGTCGTGGATAGTTGATCTAACGGTTACAAATCCCGACGAAATGAATCCGTAACGGGACCGTAGAATCTCCCCGTACTTGTACTAGATACACACTAACCATCATATACCTCCACCTGTCTTCCATTGATTGGCTGACATGGCCTGGCATTAAACTTGCACCTCACGTCTAGAGGAGCCTTCAGTGCCTCCACTTGTTCCTTTGATATTGACCTCGCCTGCACACACAATTAACCACACACAAGATCACATCTCTCTTATATTGGATATGCTCTTTAACTGTATACTCCTAATATGAGTCAGATTGGTCTAATAACAGCTCTTTTGTTTATTTATTACCTTTCCAAGTACAAGATACATGAGATTCTCCGAGCAAGGCGGAACGCTGCCGGAGCCTATGTATCTGTAGTACTTTCTAGAAGTTTCCCTTAATTCCACCGGATGAAACCCCTGGATCGTAATTGGACTCGCCTCGCGATTTTTGGCCTCGTAAACCAGATCATTCATTTTGTCGTTTATCTGATCAATAGTGCACAGCACATAATCAAGATTGATTAATTCTGTTGTTTTTTCAACTTAATATTTTCATCTGTATTTTTTTTTTTATAATGGCTGAAGTTCAATTTACCTTTCCGAGAAGCGGATCGGGTTTTCCATATTTGAAAAGGGTCGCCACCACCGACACATTACCGTCCTCAGAAATGTGCACCATGTGAAGCTCGGCAGCGAATCTTGCATGCATTCCAGATTTAAGTAAATTACAGTTTTGTGGCTTCAAAGTCTATGTTCTCTTTAGAGAAGAGTTTAAATGTTTAATACCTTTTTCCATTGATTCTATGCTCAGAAGGAGAATGCCAGTGCATTTGCTTCAAGGAATAGTGTTTGTCATCTACAATTATCTCTCCTGTGTGTTCAGGGTATTCAATCTGCTCCAAATAAAAAATACCAGCTTAATTTCATTGATTTTCAAGTCTGCTTTTTCACTACAAGCAATACTCGACTTTAACGCGACTCGATTATCCAAAAGAAGGACAAACTATACATATTCAACTCGACTAAAATCCCGTGATCAACTGAAAAAAGTTCAAACGAATGCAGAACAACAACTCAAGCCAAATTCTCAATCAAACCCAACATACAAGCCCAAATAAGATTCCATTCTAAAACCAATTGGCAACAAAAAAGGTAGCTCAGTAAACTTATATATTGACTTTGAACTTTTAAATTTTTGGATGTGAAATTGAATTTGCACACCCAACACAACATGGACTGTCGGCTATAATCGAACAATAGTGTGAAGTAGCTAAAACCTTAAACATGGGCGAAGCCAGCCTCAAATTTCACCGGGGTCGGCAATATTTTTTAGCGGGGTCATTAACCTAGTAAACAGTGTTTGAACAGTATTTTATACTAAAAATTTTGAAATCTATAGGGGTCAGCTGACCCCTACATTAGCATGTAGCTTCGCCACTGACCTTAAACTTAGACGAATAGCAAAGCTCCTTATCGAGCTATTAACAAAGACAAAAGAAGATTTTTGTACCGCAACAGTGTACTTGTTGTTGACCAAAGTAACATTCACGGCATTGTACTCCCTGACCAGGGGCTTCAACGTCTTACTCGGTACAGCTCCACCAGTGATAATATCGATTGGCGACTGAGATTTTCCAGTCGCACAGAGAAAGAAGCTCGGGCTCAGGCTCGCCCACTGGTTCGGGCCTTTGGGCCCGGAGTATGTGAACTGGAGAGGCTTATCAGCCTCTGTAAATGGAAGGTAAGAAATGTCAAAGCCACTTGTTTACTACAAAAGGGTGCTGGTTAATGTTTTCTCAATGAAAAACTTGATCCAATAAAAAGAAAAGAGAAATAAGAACCGTACTCGAAACTGCAGAAGCTTGTGAGCCGACGATCAGGAAGAAGACTGCAGCAAAGACGAAGGCCGTAGGCAAATGAGTCACTGCCATGAAAGGCTTAGTTTCTTTCATCCCAACAAGAAAATGGAGAAATTATTGTAGTAAACTGTTTTTGATTGATATTTTCATTGATATATAGTCATTATTAGATGGGCCTGTCAGCTAAAACCCCACCATCCACTATATATATATTCTTTGGACTTCTGGAGATAGTTAATTTATGTCTCAATCCCTTTGGTTTTTTCATGATTTTGTCTTCTGTTGGTTTGTCTCATTGGTTGGGTTCAGGATTCCCAGGCCGCCATTAGTGACTCTTGCTGACTTGCTGAACTCATCTTTTATCAATTGAACACAAAGATTAAAGTGTAGGTGAGATACCACATGTGGTGGTGATGTTTTTGGCCGACTAAATTTAATAAGATAAATTAATTAATTTGTTAAACATATAATTGTACGACCAAAGTAAAATGTAGAACAAATGAGATTTTAATATATTCTATTTTTTTTTTCTTTTCGAAACGAGAGAAATATTATACCAAAAACTCAAACGGAACAATGTTCGAATACAAACACGACCAACAGCCGAAAAGAAAAACTGTGAAGACTCTTATAGATGGCTAGAATCCCACAGACGGGATACAATCAACTGCAGCACATCAAATGCCTAGTTTAGTTGACATATTTCAAGACAGATAGAAAAGAAGAAAAAAAAATAACCAACAGCCACTAATACAAAAGGAAAATGAAGAAAAAGAATAGAAACTGAGAAAGAGTGGCAGAAAACTCTATCCAGTCCTTTGTTGCTGCCACAACAGCTACTCTAGCAGGCATATGTTTTTCTTGAAAGATCCACAAGCTTCAAGACTTCCACAACCGCCACAATAGGTAAGTAGTAAGTTGTATACGAGCTTCGGCGACATCAAAACAATCAACTGGACATGCTTGCCACCACCAATCACTGAAATTGATTTCAGCTGTGCAAATTCCATCGCACTGCACTGGACTGATATCCCATAGTGTCTTTGCTTTGGCACAATGAAAGAACACATGGCTATCCATTTTTTAATCATCACCACAACTTTGACAAATATGATCTAGGTTAAGACCTTTTTTCAGTAGATTAGCTTTAACAGGAAGGGTGTTTGTACAACACTTTGAAAGAAAATGTTTGATCTTATTATGCACTTTCAGTTTTCAAGTTCTATTTCTGGCACTAGTAACGGTTTTCATAGTGTAACTACTTTGTGGTATGTTCATTACCTGCACCTTTTGATTAATAAGATAAGAGTAAGAAGAAGAAAAAACTGAAAACTGAAATTTCCTCTCAAATCCCCAATACATCCTGTCTTCTTTTTCTGGGTTCAAGATAGTGATTTTTAGAATTTCCTGACTCTCTTCTTCATTGAAGACCTGTGAGATCAACTATTCATTCCAGCACCTGCTAGTGCTGTTGAACAAGTCTTTAACCCAAATCAAGTGTCCCCTAGTTAGGTCCATCAATCTTGGCTTAGCAGTTTTCAGAGTGGGAATCCAGTTAACATAAGAGATTCTAGTAGACTCTCAATTTCTCACCTGAATTTTGAAACCCTTTGTAAATACAAGCAACACCTCTAGCCAGCAGTTCCAAAGCCATGAGTTATTCTGAGTTTCAACAGCTTCAATAATGGAGGATGTGGGGAAGTACCTACTTTTGTAGAAAGAATGAAATAACATATTACAACCCGAAAAAAAAGTATATAAAAAAATAAGTCCCTAATGAAAAAAAATTAAATAAATAAAACAAGGACTTAATGTATATTATAGATGCATTAGTTCTTTTATTTATTTATATTAGATGTTCAAAAGTAATTCTCTTTTAATTTGGTTTTGAAAATATCCTAATAAACATTCATACTCGTTGGAGCATATACATGGAATAGAGTTTTTTACATTAGTTGTTAATTGAGTATATTCCTACTTACAAATTATAAAATAAATAAATATACAAGATTTTTTATTTATATTTTCAAATAAATTTCAAAATATACATTATCTTTTATATTTGAAATGACATATGATAAAACTCTCATAAAAAATGTAAATATATAATATTTTATTATGTATACAATATATACATATATATATAATTTGGAGCAACATCATTTAATTTTATTGTCATGAATTTAATTATACTATCCCGCCTAAAATTTCACCATTTAATTTTATTCCTTTCAATTCCCCTAAAAAACAATTACCATCTCTCTTACTTAATTATATTATATTGCATTTAATTATATTATCCCCCTATGAGTCATGAGTTTTGCTTTAATTACCATTTCTCTCATTTTCTCATAATGTTTAAGAATGTAAATAGTTACCCTTTTTCTATTTGTTATTTTATATTAGTTAAATAATTTAGCTTTTTTTTACCTGCTTAGCTGAAAAAAAAAAAAACTTATCTTGATGAACTCTTTTTTTCATTTATTTTTATATCTGGTTGGCTTGATGAGTCATTAGTTTTTGTTGTAATTGCTCTTTTTATTTATTCCTTACAAAATTCAAGAATGATATTCTCTGTTTGATTGCATTTCCTTAGAATTAACGTAAAATATCTAATAATCAACATAAATGAATATCAATACCTTTTTTTTTTTAAAAAAAAAGGCGAGTAGAAATAAGGTGTACTTAAAGATTTTTGTTATTTTGAAAATTGGACATACGACTTACATTTATGTGCAAATCGACTGTTGAAACTAAACAACGTGTATATTTTTTAGAAAACCATAAGAACATCTCGATATTTAACAAAATACGTTCACATTTTGCAAAAACAAATCTATGATTTGACCAAAAAAAAATCAAATTGTGTAGATATTTCAAAATTTTTGAAAGAGAACGAGAAAACAAACACTAAAATAAGATTTTATATCTAATCTACTTCTGATTCAACTGAAAACACGAAAAAACATATATTCTAACAAACATTACAGATCTTTTTTTTTTTCCGGAACGATAGGGGAACTATTATAAATCAAAAGCGCACAAATGTGCGAACAAAGATACAAAGCTCCGAACGGGAGAATAAAGTGGGAGGACAGGTCAGAAGACCGCCTAGAATCCCGCTAGCAATGCTAGAATAAAACTCACTACAAGACTAACCAACCAACAAACACAACCAAACACAACTAAAAAGACCCCAAAAGGGTAATACCCGAGTGTCGGATCCCAACAGGATAATTAATTTGACACTCGGGCGCACAGAGGCCAAACGACCCAAACCAAAAACACAAACTGAGACACAAATACAAGCACAAACACAGAAACACAAACAACACAAAACAACAACAAAAATAAACTAAAACAACTAACTGCCCTCCCCCGGCAAACGAGCAGAGCCCACCAGCAGTGAACGAACGACACAAGAAGAAGTCCCAGCCTGAGAAACCGCTACTGAAACTGCGCAACCGCCTATACAGTAGCCGAAACCCATCCACGAACCCTTACATTACAGATCTTAATAAATTCGTAATATAATCGCCCTATATTAAACCATTTTCTTATGATTCATTGAAGTATGTTAGTAAAATAGAGGCTACAGCTTAAAAGAAATTATCAAATCGACTTTTGAAATTAACTGAAAACATAGTTTACCAAAAAAAATCATAAATTCTTAACAAAGATTATAGATGTTGATAGATCCGTAATATAATCATCCGATTGAACCATTTTTTTTATGATTCATTGAAGCATTGTAGCAAAATAGAGACGACAACCTTAAATGAACAACCTTAAATGAAAATAAAAAATTTAAAATTTTGATAGATTTGTTATGTAATCGACCAATTTGGATTGTTTTACAATGATTAGTAAAACGGAATTGTAAAATCGAAATGATTTTGATGTTATACCTCTGTTTTGTTTGAAATTTTTTATTTTACAAAAAGTTTTAGAATTTGATCGGAATATCTCGACGGAAAAAAGAAAGAAAATAGTATGATTATGACAAATATTGATAAGCAAAATGAGATATTGGATATTAACAAAGAGAACAAACGCGTCATCCGCCGATAACAAGAGAGAAATAAGCTTGAATCCTGGAATGTTCGGGTTATTTAAGTCGAGAGCTGTGTAACCCATTTTTTGGTAACTGGTCTTATCGATTACCTGATTCTTTTTTTTTTTGTAAAAAAAATGTGTATTGGGTTCAATTTGAATATTATTTTTCTAGAGCTTTAACAAATCGATAGCCTTACTAAAAATATTGGCCAAAGTCATTTACAGATTTTTTTAATAAAAAGTTAAGCCCAATTCACTACATTTTCTTAATATGTTATCCATCACAATTCAACAATTGTTTATAATGCAATTATTTGTTCAATAGATAATTTCGACCCAAATATTTATATTTGATGACAATTATAATAAATTTGACACACATTTTATTACTCCTTATTTGTTTAAGGGTACCTGTTTATTGTGTTTTTGTGCTTGATTTTATGTGTTTATGTGTGTTATCGAGTCGGTTTTAGGTTTGTTTTAGTGTCGACCGGTCCATTTTATTGCATTTCGTGTGTTTTTAAGTTTTTCTTCTTATTTTATAATTTGACGTACTTTGCCGTGCTTTGTGATGAAATTTCAGATTATTCGGAGGATGAATGAGGAGAGAACGAAGTTCCCAAGAATTCCGAGAAGTTTCGAGTCATTCGTACGAACCATTTCCAGTCGAGTATGTCGAGTCCTCAGTCGAGCCCGGACGTGCCTTGACCTTGCCGACTAGCGACCCCGCGCTGAGACCCGCAGCCTTGCGGACGCGCAACGCCAGTGCCTAGGATGCCCGCGCGCTCGTGGAAATCCCCGCGCCATCGAGAGTGTCGCTGACTGTCCGCACAATCGCTGCCCCGCGCGCCCGCGCGCTCGCGTAAGGAACCGCGATATCGAGAGCATCGCGCGCC